CACCTACTTGTACTCCTGGATTTCTTCGTCGCAAACATTTTTCTCTTCCTGTCACCAAGCGGTGACGAGTTTAGACTTTTCTATAGAGACAAATAAACAACATATTAATTAATTCGGAGTTATGGAGAATATAACTGCAGGGATAACAACAATAACAGCTATAAACCACAGGGTACTAAAAAATAATCAATATTGGTGACTTTGTAAAAAAAACAAAACAAAAACATTATACATAAAATATTGCCATGTGTCTTAAGATGTGTATAATAAACAGATATGTAAATAGTGCATAAATCATTTGCATAAAGACACACAAATTGCTACAATTACTAGGCTCAGTACAATATTTATTTAAACCTTACAACCCTTGCCAGTTGACAGACGCCTTCTTACTGACTCCCAACCAGACTTCTTCGCTATGAATAAATTTGATAAATTTGGCCTTAGCAAATTTTTTTTATATTTCGAACATGAAAGTATTTCAAAACACAACAATCATAGCCAAAGCACAAAGACTTGAATACAGTGACCTCACATTTGTTTTAACTGCCTTTCTGAAAATACTGCCCTCTAGAGGCACTGTAATGATTGATTGCAATATTCCAATTAAAGTGCCTTAAAAGTTATGCCATCGTCAGTGATGGCATTCTTTTTAGTGGCTGTATTTTTATCGCAATACAATAAATGAAAAACTCCTCCTACTGTTAATGGGAGTCACTAAGAATTGCCGACTCCTGTCAGACTTTGCTATTAATAAACCTGGCTGAAAAGAGAGAATACCAAAGCATTAACAACATTAATTTGTGTGTTAGTAACAGAAGACGTAGATTTTGTTACAAGTGTGCACACTTTTATTACCCCATTTACGGCCATATCCACTGCCATCTAGGTACAAAGAATCAATTTATGAAGAGGAAAAATACTAATACAGTGAAATTCATAAAGGCATGATTGTTTTACAAATTTCAAATGACGGTTTAAAACAAACTGACCAATTACAAATGTGTTAATGGATATATGGTAGTATTCTATCCACCAATGATTGAAGGAAACCCACAACACATGGGCAATTAGCGATACCAAATGGCTTCTTTAACAACAAAGCACATTCTTTGGATTTGAGTGAAGTTTGGGGTTTTTTTCAGGGTAAATATTTTATAGCTATTTTATATATTTCCAAGATAAACATCCACGTCTTCATGAAAGTCACTGTAAGATATTTCTTCATTCCATAAAGAAATGAAAATGTCAAATTGAAACCAAATTCTACAAGTTTCAAAAGCAATATTTTTTGTTTTTTTTACACATAGTTGTCAAAACCCGAAGTCGAAAAATCACTGAATGGTGATGTGAGTTAATTTAATTCACCCCCCCTAAAATGACAGCAGCTGAGATGACCAACAGGTGTCAATATCAGAAATCAAACATGGCTGACAAACACTCGACAGCAACGCTATAAAATAAGAGAAATAACAGCATTCATATAAATTTAGATTAAAAATAATGTAAAACGTACACGCCTGAACTGACTAAATTCAGTGCAATATATTATTTTTATTCTGTTTATGGATTGGAAGGAGGGTTCAGCCATGTTATCGTTTGTATTGTGACACTTGTACAGAAACACAGACAGATAGACAGACAGGATAACGCAGGACACACAGAAAACATTTACCGTTCTCCTGGCTGAGGGTTTCTGTATAACAAATACCTGCGAGTTTGAAAAGTGATTAAAATGAGATAAAATAAAACCTGGATGTAAGACATGGTGATTGAATGAAAATGAAAAACACTCATAAAGCAACAGAACTGTGTGGTTGCTAAGCAACAGAACTGCGTGGTTGCAATAGTAAGCAACAGAACTGTGCGGTTGCCAAGCAACAGTTATGCAACAGTGTTGAAGACAATGATTGAGATATGTGGAATTTGCATATATTTAGAATCTGTTCAGCTAAGATTGGAAGAATCTTGATCAGAAGAAATGCATTGTTGGACATCTTGATATCCTATTTTCCACAAATATTTCATGTAAAAGTCTCAAGACTCAACAATGACTTTTTGTAGCAATGTTAATTCACTTTTCACAGGAACATCATTCAAAGCATGGATCTCAGCAAAAGCATGGATGTTTCAAGAAAACACAGATCAGATGAAAAACATGGGCATTAATTACAGTAATTCATAAGTTGTGAAATGATACCAGGTGAGGGCGCACAATTCACACATAACGTTACTGACACAAGATGTTTAAATCATGAGTAACTGTGATGGGAAATTACCCAACAACAAATGACTTTATGTTGTTTATACCCAGGATAACTACAGAAATTGATAATGGAGTCCATAATACCGGTACAAGTGAACTCCAACTGAGTCACT